TGAGTAAAGTAGACTTAATGAAGAAGATGCTCAAAATATTTCATCAAAATATTCCACCGGGAACTACCCCAATTGGCGACGGCCGGACAGAACCTCCTATATAAGGGGCTAATTGAACACTTTAAGTCAATTCAAGGGCCTATTTGACCATTTAGCCTATTTTATTCTTAAATGTTGATGAGGCAATGTAAGGTTTTGATATGCTTTTTGTCCACACTCTGTTTTTAGTGTGAAAGAGAATGAATGGATTTCAATAGCCCGTTGATTAATCAAAGTTTTCTTCTAGGATGTAGAATATTCCATTATTATGCCTTTATTATTACTCATCACCGGGTCTTTTAATAGAAGTAGAAACATGCAACTTATAATTTTTTCTTCAAGTTAAAATGACTAATATAAATATCTATATTAATAAAATGTAATGATAATACCTCTGAAGTGTTTGAGCACCTGATATTGTCATTCCTTATTTTGCTGACATAGCACTATTTTTATACATACATTAATTGAGCTATATTGTGAGGAAGAAGATGAATAGTGTTGAGTGTGTAATATTGGTTCTAGGGTTACAAGAGGCTCCAAGAGGAGTATAAATAGGGAAATCGGGGTCTGGGCCTCTAATATGGGCCCGACAGACCCGGTTACATATATGGACTGATAATATAAAAGACTAATCAAGTGGATACAAATACAAATTGGACTGTACAATAATACAATAATATATGTAAGGCGTGTGTGGGCCGCTGTCCAGGCCCAATAGTCGTGAGACCCGGAGGTCCAAGTCTATCAGGAAAGGAAGTGTAATTGTAAAACTTAAACTTACCTTGTTTGGGAGAGTTAAAAGAATGAAGTGTTAATAACGGAAGTGTTTTATGTGAAATTGACAAAAATGTCCTCGTCTGAATCCTAGAAATCTTTAAAGCAATATGATTAAAATCGAAGCAGGAAGTTTCAGCTACTATGGGTGTTTCATTCGTCCAGATGGTTGAAGGAGGTAAAGTAGTTCAGAATTTAAATACCCCGTACATGTTTTTCTTGGCAGAATGGCAGTTATGATGCTTGCAGCGAATCCCCATTTGGTTCTTCTCATATCCTTCTTATTTAGGCCTCCAATGAGTTTTGTTGCAATCCCCTCTAATGCTTGAAAACGGATGCTGCTTCTTGGCATCATCAACGAATGTGAAGTACGCTTCTTGAACCACATCAGTCACAGCTGCTTTGACAAAGCTTTGAGCAGTCCAGTTGAGTCGGAGGAAGAAAATCTCAGTGGGTGAGATTGTGAAAATAGGAAGACGAGGTACGTGAACGTATACGGCAACATGAAAGGGGCAAAATCTGTCAAGCACTTCAAAACACTCCAATTTGGAGTGTTAAAAAAGTCACTTATTGAGGTGTTAGGAAGGTTTCCTCTAACACTTACAAACACTTACTAACACTCCAATTTTTTTTTAAATTTTCTCCCAAACAAGTGTCAAATCCAACACCCTTCAACACTTCCATTACTAACACCCTTCAACACTCAATCCAAACAGGCCGTAAGAAGTTCACTTAGAATAGCTGAATAGCCCAATATTTTCATATAATCCAACCCTTCATTATTGCATATCATCACATTTTTCTACTTTTATTTTGGAGAAATGTTGTTTGTACACGTCAAATTGTACATGTTATTTTACACGCTTGTCGAATTATCTGTGCACATGTACAATAAACGTGGATACAACGCATGGTTGTTTATTTTGCCTCTTATCATCTACTCCTTGGTCAGTTAGTCCATGAAAGGTTCACACAATAAGAATCATTTGAAGGGTGCACTTTTCATAGAAACTTTTGCTTTGATAACATATTACTGGCTTTTCTCATTTTAAAAGAGCATAAACGAATTAAGTGGGTGAAGAATTGAGAGTTGGAATTTGAGTATGCTGAAACTTTGAAAAAATACATTTCTTGGGCTCAGCCCAATTTTAAAAATACTCAGCCCAAGTTTTAAAAAATACACTTTTGATACATTAAAAATACAATACCAAAATACATGTTAAAAATTGATGTCATATTTTTATATGCAATGTTTTAGTGGTAAATTAATTTTGAACACCCAAAATCTAGTTGCTAGATCTGCCACTGCAGATAGCTATTACAGCTCCGATCGTAAGCCCCAAAAATAGACACGAGTCAGCCATCCATGGGATGAAAATACGTGAACCTGGTACACCACTTTAGTAAAAGGTATGATTTTATAACGTGTCTAAAGTGTATCAAACATTGGGCTGAGTCTATTGAGGAGGCTTTGATACGTGACCAATCCACATATACCGATCTACCAACCAAAATGATGGTGGATGTCTCTTGGTCGCCGCCGCCGCCCACATGGGTTGCTCTAAATTCTGACGGATCGGTTATTCCTGAGACCGGACGAGCAGCTGCAGGAGGGTTGTTTCGTGATTCTGATGGTCGATGCTTAGCAACGTACTCGATGAACTTGGGTTTTTGCTCAATAACCAGAGCCGAATTGAGAGCTAATGTGCAAGGATTACATTTTGCTTGCGAGTCTAACTGTTAGACTCGCAAGCTACAATTCAGCTTTTGATGGCAGAAGGTGAGCACACACACCAGCATTCTTCTGAGGTCGCACAGTTCCGCGAGCTTTTTAATTTAGATTGGACAATCAGAGTTGAACATACTACTGAGAGGGTAATCGTGCAACAGACTTTTTAGCTAGCCTAGGCCATAGATTGCCTATTGGTGAACCAAGCATTCCAGCCCAACTGATTGTGAGATTATCGTGCCTTGTGAGAGGTCTCGAGTTCGAAACCCGCTAGGCACATAGGGGGTTGAAACTCAATGGAGTGAGTTTCAGCCCTTATTACTCCAGGCTCCCTCCAGCCCCCCTCCCCCAGACCCCCCTGGAGTAAAAAAAAAAAAGATTACCTATTGGTGTTCATTCTATTTCTAATGCTGATTCTAGATTATCGTTACATATTTTGTATGATTTACTTGGGATTTCTCAGTCTCGTTTGATCATTAATGATAGATAGGAGCTATTACTATATTGCTCCTATGTTTCTACCAAAAAAGTGTGTTTTTGGGTTGAATTTATTAATTTTATAAGGTCTGAACTTGTATGATGATGTTTTTTGAATTAATTCTACTTGTGGTCCTATGAATTTGGCGAAATTGACATCAATAATCCTACTTTTAGGCATTTTACAAAAATAATCTCTACTGAAAAAGTTCACAACAATAATCTCAACCGGATAATTGTTTCACAAAAATAATCCGGAAGTTAACGGTGTTAACTTTCCCATTATTATTTTTAATTTAAAATAAAATGAAGCAAATATATATATATATATATATATATATATATATATATATATAAAAACATGGCGAAATTGACACCAATAATCTCTACTTTTAGGCATTTTACAAAAATAATCTCTACTGAAAAAGTTCACAACAATAATCCCAACCGGATAATTGTTTCACAAAAATAAACCGGAAGTTAACGGTGTTAACTTTTCTGTTATTTTTTTTTATAATTTAAAATAAAATGAAGCAAATATATATAAAAACATTAATAATATTATGTTTTTGTTTAGTCTTATTTCTACTGTAAATTAAATTTAATAATAACTATTTTTTGTAAAATGTAATAAAAATATCTGAACACAGACTTGTATTCATTTTAGTACGTATTTATGTTTAATATAAAATTACTTTTAAATCTCTATTACAATGAAATAAAAATGAATATATATATATATATATATATAAAATATTGATTAGAACTAAAAGAAAAATGAGAATTTGATGAGTATGTTTATAAAATCTATTACATTTTATGAAAAATAATGACTATTAAATTTAATTCATAATGAAATTAAATATAAGGACAACAAACATACGAAGTATATAATATTCTTGATTTTTGTACATATTTTCGCTTCATTATATTTAAAACGTAAAAAAAAACTAACGGAAATGTTAACACCGTTAACTCCGGTTTATTTCTATAAAAGAGTTAAGTAGTTCGGATTATTGTTGTAAACTTTTTTGGTAGGGATTATTTTTGTAAAATGTATAAAAGTAGGGATTACTTATGTCAATTTCGCCTATGAATTTTATGCCAATTCCAAATTTAGTTCACGTCTTTCAATTTATCCACTTTTGTTACTTGACTAACTTTTTTTTACCATTTGTCGCCCTTTTCTGGCGATTTCAACCACCGGAAACATTGAAGGAATGATCATATATGGGAGAAAACACAATGGTCATGTATCAAAAGTGGTCAAAGTAAAAAACGTGAACCAATTGTGGAATTATTGTGATACTTGTCGGACCAAAAGTGGGATTCATTAACGTTTTTAATTAATATGACTTATTTCAGTTCCAGACTAGATCAGATCAAACTAGACCATACTTGACAGTTGTAAAATACACAAAGACCATACATTTACCATACCAGATCAGTTCAGAATAGATCAGACCATCAAACTTCAGTCCAAATAAACACATACTAAGATGTTTAAATTCAAATTCAACTTTGAACCAAAAATTGTATTTTTCTATTTCAACATTAATAAATATGTTGAATTTTATTGAGAAATTTTTTCAAAAATATTACCAAAAAGAGTGTGGATAAAATTGTAATAAAGTAACTTTCCCGTAATTATAATTGTATTCAAAGTTATATGATAATGATTACAATATAATTATCAAACGATATTAAATCACATTTTTTTTCACCGCTATTATTTTGGTTTCTTATACGTAGTATTTACTCATTAAATATTTGTCACTCAAATTAGGAGCTCTACAGCCTTCCAATTTTGATCTTTGGTTATTTCGTAATTTTGTTTTTTGTTACTTTTCTAATTTGATTTACTCTGTTTTGTTTTCTTGTGGTTTCTTTCTTGTATTGGGTGCCTTTCTTCTGCATATAAAACATCTGTCATTGTCTCTCCTTCTCCACCTGTAAGCTGTTACAAATTCATCATATCACTCATTTCTCCTCCCACTTCGAGATATTTATGCATCACTCGATATATCAATAATTACTTCCAAATGAGTTTTTCCATAATACTTTTCTTCCAACCAGAGACGACCCTTTGCAGTTTTAGCATAGTATTTCGTAAAGATCACATAAGAAGTTATGGTGGGAGTAGTTAAACTCAATAATTCTTCATCTTTTTAAAAAAAATCGTGTTCAAGATCATATTTTTATCCTTCTTTTAATCTCCTTTTTTGCAGTTCAGGCCTTTTCTTTATAACTATTTGCAGCTGATTACTTGATTAGTGATTACTTCGATTCGATTCTATCTCCGAGTCAGCCGTTTCAGTTTTGAATACAATCCCATATTTTAAGCCTTTCTGGTAAGATATCGTTTGGGTCAGTAAAAAAAGAAACTTATTTCCGGAAAACATGAAGTGGGTCATTTCAGATGAACCCAAAAGGGGAGAGAAGATTGAGGGCAATTTCATGTGATTTCTGTGGGGAGTTGATTGAGAGAATTGCTGAAATTGTGGGAAAAATCAAATCATTGGAATCTTGTGAAGAATTGGGTAGAAGAGAGGAAGAAGATGGAAGAAATAAAGGAAAGATCTTTGGAAAGAGTGGTTTCACAGAGAGCACTGCAAATGGGGAGTTCATTTCCATGTCAAATCTGTGTGGTTGGATTCCTTTGTGGAGTTTGCCTGACCTCTTTCTTCCTTGCTGCTCTCACTTCATTTGGTGCCTTTCATCTGTTTGGTTCAACTTCCACTTTTTCCACCACTGTTCTGCCTTCAAATTTTACCTCTAAATTCATCACTGCTATTTCCAGTTAAGCTCCCATCTTCCTATCCTATCTGGCTATCTTTATATATGAATATGAAGATGCTTATCCATTTATCCATTTGTTAGTTGCTTGCATGGTTACTCTTGATTTAAATCTAAAAAAAGTGTGCTGAAAAAGTGAAAAGTATTGGCAGAGAGCATCTATTTGATTCCTTCAGCTGTAACACAAAAAGGAGTGCATCTGTTTGAAAAAAACAAAAACAAAATCCAGAAATGCGATGACAATCTAAAATTAGAAATACGATGTTTTTTCCTAAATAGAAGTGTACTAATGTGATTCTGAAATATTACCCCGTCCCGAATTGATTTGCAAATTTGACTTTTCTTGGTCAAACAGTTTCATTGTATTTCCTTAATTAGGATGTTAATTTTTAATTATATTCTAATTTGAAGTTTGCAACTTTAAAGAGAATTTAATGTAGTTTCTGAATATGGGAATTTTATTTATTAAAAATTGAGTTAAGTATTGGTTGACCAAAAAATGTTGACTTTGCAAAACAATTTGGGACGGAGGGAGTAATGATCAATATTTTGACATTACGACACATTAATTTGGCAATATTAATGTCTTTTTCATTCATGGAAGTAGTCACTCCTATTGACAAGAAAAAATATAGCAATTCTATTTTGTAATTTCACATTATTTGGAATTTAGGAAATATTTTTTGAAAAAAGTATCATTAATATAACTTTTGAAATTGAATGCCCACAGAAGTAATAAAAAGGTTTCCAGGTGCGGTTTAACAAGAGAGAAATTATGTGAAACAAAAGAAACTATTCAAAATAAGAGTAAAACGAGGATAAAGGTCAAAAATTAAAATTGAGATTGACCATGTTTTATTTCCAAAATAAGACCTATTTAGTCTTAATAAAATGTCACATAAAAAATCGTCTATTATTACTGAACGCGACTTATATTACTAATTGTCTTTTCAATTCCAAAAATATGACTTCTTATTTTTTTCTACAAAAAACTGACATCTATTTTATTATAAACTCACGGTTGAATCATTGTTTACCGTTTAAAATCAATTCCTCTCCCCTATTACTTTCCCTCTTTTTTGGTCATGTGGTGCTTTGTGAGTTTGTGTTAGTCTTTCCCTTGACACCCAAAAAGAAGGTTGAAAAATACTACGTATAAATTTGTGTGATGGGAAATATTGGAGTTTGGGAAATGCAATGCTTAAGGTGCTTTAAAATCTTTAAAATCTTTGTACATTGTCCACATTGTATACATTGTCCACATTGTGCACATGTGTACAGGCCAATTCGTTAAAAATGTGAAATTTTTAAGGAAGTTGTTTGTATGGTGTGTAAAAATTTTAAGACAGTTGTCTGTATGGGTGTCTAAAATTGGCGTATAAAAGTGTACATGAACATGGTTGAATCTTTATTGCCTCTTACTAAATTTAAGATATACTCAATATGTTCACTTTGTATGTTAAGTTTTGCTTTTAAGCATTTCCTTCCTTAATGTAGAACTTTTATCCCGATTTTCCTTGATTCACCATACTATGAAAAAATTGGTCTCACTTTGTGGGTTAATTTTGGAAAATGACCGTATTTTGCAAGTGTTCCTTGGAAGTCGCATTAAAATCAAAGTGACTTATATTTTGGGATGCTGAGACCCAGCATTTGATTGCATTACATCTCCCACCTATATTTCCTATGTATGATAGGGTGGATATTTAGATTAATCCCTAAGAAATATTATTATTAGCATTCTAAAAGTTGGTTTTATTAAACTGAACATATGCCAAAGGTTAATCCTTGTGTAGCAACCAAAAAGGGGTACGTGTTACGTGTTGATATTATTGCAGTCTAATTCATGAAGAAATCCACAAGTCAAAAGTTGTGTTCCAAGAGTGAGTATGAAGTGGCTTAAAGTTGGAGCAACTCCGTTTCAAATTTTGCTTAATTACTTTAGGTAAAAGTCGAAGGCATTTTAAAAAGGAAAAATTGACAAGAATAATCTCACCTTTCACTGATCTTCTCATAATAATCCCACCTTTAAATAATCCCACCTTTGCATCTCATCTTCTCTCATTGGACCCTGATCATGTTTTTTACTCTTTCTTTGAAAATTATACAAATAATCTCACCTTTCACTTTTTAAGTATATCCTATAAATGTGAGATTATTTATATAAGATTTTAAAAAGGGTTAAAAAACTTGGTCAGGGTCCAATGAAAGAAGATGAGGTGCAAAGGTGGGATTATTTTGGGATTATTTAAAGGTGGGATTATTATGAGAAGACCAGTGAAAGGTGGGATTATTCTTGTCAAATTTTCCTTTTAAAAATCATGGAGTCTATGCAAAGTAATTATCATTATTTCTTTAATTACAAAAATTATGACCCTTGTCCACTTAACAACCTTCTCCACTTGGTACTATTAGAATGGACAGAAAAAGTCAAAATCATATGGCGAAGAAATAAATTATTTATTTCCTATATACAATACGAATTTTTCAAGGAAAACAAAAAAGAAAGGATAAATGACTCTAAAGGCTCAAATTTTGGATTTGTTTCAAATACTTCTAAAATGAATCTCCATCTGGCATCTTGTATTAGTGTAGTATAATCATCTTCTGTACATATGTGACAGGTGGTGATTTTAAGTTCAGACAGAACATAACACAAGTTTGGATTTACCCACAAGAAAATTTCACAGTAAATACAGATGAAAGAGCAGTTTCTTTGTACACAATGTGGAGCAATTTACTACACCAATCAATGGGGGAAGGTGGTGATTTATCACCAGATAAAAGATTGGTTAGTTCCAATGCGCCGAAAGCCCCTTATGTCGAGAATTGCAAGTTGAGTGACAGAGTAAATAAAAGGCTAGACAGTCGCGCTGAGAATGAACGCTTTCCTCCATGGACTATTTGGAAGGGAATGTTGGATAAGTTTCCTTTGTCCAAGACAGATGAACAGCAAGGGTATTATAGACAAAATGCAATATCTGAAGGAGCTTATCCTCCTTGGGTATGTGATCATTACACATTAACCGTTTTCAATAATTTAGTTCCCTTCCTGTTCTTGTACTTTATTACATAAAAAAGTAGTGTAGATGTGAAGATATTTGTTTTTTACCTAGAGAGCTGAAATAGAGAAAATGACCCCTCCATCTCATATATTAGTTTTTACTTTTTTTTCTTATTATGAATAGTTCAGCCAATTCTGCTATTTTAACCATTCTTTCATCAAATTCAGTCATTTCAACTAATTTTAATCTAATGGGCTGAAATGGACATAAATGACCATTTTACCCTCATATTTTAATTAGTATTTTATTTTTTATTTTTTTTAAGTCTTGTTTTCAATATATCTAAATATAAACATTTTAGCTAATCACTCTGTACTTAATTTGAACTATAGCTTCAGCGTATGCAATCATTTCAACCAATTTTCCCCACCTAAAGCATGAATAGTAGTATCATCATCAACTTTTAAGTTAGTTAAATCTTATGTATTCATGCAACACGACCTTGATCATGGTTTTCCGTTTAGTCCAATAAGTTGATTAGTTGAACGATGAAATATAATGTTAAGATCAAGTGCAATTTCTAATGTATAAAAGCCAAGTCATAGTCCCAACGTTTCAAAAGCTCAAAGAAGTGGTCCTAAATGCAGATAAAGGGATCAGATGAAGAGAACTACCCTTTGACCAGGAAAGTGCAACGTGACATTTGGATCCATCAGCACCCGTTGAACTGCAGTGACCAAAGTGTGAAGTTTTTGGTAGCAGATTGGGAGAGGCTGCCTGGATTCGGTATGGGAGCTCAGTTTGCAGGAATGTCTGGTCTTCTTGCCATTGCTATTAACCACAAAAGGGTACTTGTAACCAACTACTATAACCGTGCTGACCACGATGGTTGCAAAGGTGGTCAAAGAGTAGCATTTAAATGTTTCAATCCTTTCTTTCTAGCTGATCATCGGTCTAGGACCCGACCAGACCAATATTGGACCAGAAGTGCACTTTAAAAATGCTTGGCTAGGTCTTTATGTTTTTCTTTAAATTGTCTTGTATAAATTAGTTCATTAGTAAATTAGTAAAATAGCAAACGAATAAGTTAAGATTTGAAGAATGTATACCAATAAATATATGTAGATTTAAAAAATACAAAATAGAAGACCAAAAACTGACCGATATAAAACTGGTTTGGTTCTAATCTCGACTGACAGGAGCCGTTCTGGTTCAGTTGTTGAGTCTAGACCTGAATTTGTTCACACTTAGTTGTAAATAAATGTTGTAGGAATAATCTTTTCTTTTGTCTCCATTTTTTTACAGATTCATCACGTTCTAGTTGGTCTTGCTACTTCTTTCCAGAAACATCAGAAGAATGCAGGGAACGTGCATTTCGGCTTATGGGACAGAAGAAAGCCTGGGATGAAGGGATCATAACTGTAAAAGAGAATTATACCTCAAAAGAAATATGGGCGGGACGAATTCCCAGGTAAACTTTCCCTTATTCCTGCTTCATTATTTAGCTCAACACTAAGTCATTAAGAGCCTTCTAAACAATATACTCGCGATAAAATTTGTGTTGCAGGGTATGGGGCAGCCCTTGGAGTTATTTACAGCCCACCACAGAAGTAAATGGGACCCTAGTTGCTTATCACCGTAAAATGGACCGGAGATGGTGGAGGGCTCAGGTTAGATTCACTATTTTACCAAATGTGATATGATAAAGCATGTGATAATAATAATCATAGAAACATCATAATCCTTGTTTTAGTACTACTCAGCTATTGTCATTAGGTCAAAAGGGTTGAGGTTTCCTTTATTTCTCTATAGGAGCATTGCTTTGCATGTGTTTAGAATTTGTGAAGTTGCAAGTTAAAAGTCATCAATAAGAAAATAAAAGTAGAAAAGTAGCTGTTTGTGAAGGATAGAGCTATAATGTTCTTCCAAAGTTGTGATAGATTAAGGGTATGCTGGTGCTGATTTGTACATATTCATCAGGCAGTGCGATATCTGATGAGGTTTAAGACAGACTACACATGCAGCTTACTAAACATTGCTAGGCATTCAGCATTTGGTCAGGAAGCAGCAAGGATGGTTCTTGAAACTCCAGTCAATTATTATCCAGAGGTTAGGTCAATTTTTTTCTGTCTGTATTCTGTAACAGTGTGCCACAATATACTAGAAGTCTAGAAAGTACTTTTTAAATTTTGAAAAACTCAAGTATGTCTGAAACCGATTGTTCTTTAATCTCTTTTCTTCCTTCAGCAAGATGATGCAGAGAAGACCAGATATTATGACATGGAAAAATTTGTATGGTCTAGTCATAAACCATGGACTCCTAGGCCATTGTTGAGCATGCATGTTAGAATGGGAGACAAGGCGTGTGAAATGAAGGTTGTCGGATTTGAAGATTATATGCAACTTGCGAAGCGCATACGAAAAAACTTCCCCGAACTGAACAGCATTTGGCTCTCCACTGAAATGCAGGTATTATAGGACAGCTCTACATGTCTTGGTTATGAAAAATCCCACCTTGTTCATTCATAGGCGCTAAGTTTCCCTTTGGTGAGTTGGTCACCTATTTTGTAAATAAAGTTCACATTTGGTCCCATGACTATTTGGTCATTCCCACTTTTGCTCACCCGCATTCATTTTTATCCGCTTTTGGTAGACTATCCAGGATTCTTTGCCACTTTTGGGTCATTTTAACCAAATCAAGCCAATTCCCTTTAATTCTCACCTTATAAGTGAGTCAAAAGACATCAAGTTGCAAGAAATCCAAAATCTAGCACTGAATGTGGGAAAATGTTGAACAAAGGAGTGACCTATGACATAAAATAGAAAGTTTTCTGCCCTTTAATAGGAGGTTGAACATAACTGGAACCCAGGTAATAGGAGATTAAGGTTCCAGTTTCTCCCTTAATGTTACTCAGAACTAGCCGGTTTGGAATCAAACTGGGGTCATCCCTAATTATGCTTCGGTCTCCTGTTATCCAATAGCCTCTAACGCCCTTTAGAACCACATTGCATAGATCCTTGTTTCTTTAAACATACAGTTTTGTTATACTAGTTGAAATTTTGATATTCAGGAGGTGATTGATAAAACGCTGACGTATCCCCATTGGAAGTTCTACTACACTAATGTCACACGACAAGTGGGTAACGTGACAATGGCAACCTATGAAGCTAGTCTTGGTAGGGAAGTTGGCACGAACTACCCGCTAGTCAACTTCTTGATGGCCACCGAAGCTGACTTCTTCATCGGGGCATTGGGCTCAACTTGGAGCTATCTCATTGACGGTATGAGGAATACTGGAGGGAAAGTCATGTCGGGATTCTTGAGCGTCAACAAGGATCGGTTTTGGTAGAACCCTTCTGTCTCAGGTGGCATCTCAAGTATTCACATATCATATGTGTTAAGTGTCTCAAAGCATTAGCCAAAATAGTACATATTGTTAAGGGCGTGGCAATTGACATTTTGACAACCATGTATGAATAGCATCTTACATTTGTACTTTGTAGTATGTACATTTGTAATTATGTATCATAAAATTTCACTACAAGTTTAAATCCTTTTCTCAAGCAGTTGCAATGAGACTGACAAAGATAACAAGAACTTCAGTTAAAAACCCAACTATTTAGGGTCCGTTGGGAACACTGAAAATGCTAGGGGGAAATAGAGAGAAAAATATACAATAAATTTGGAAGCAAAGAAAATGTCAAGGAAAATAAAATACTGGTTCAAAACTTCAAATTTCAATTGTAGTCAAAGAAAATGTTCGAACTCACCTGTTCTGGTTTATTTCTATTATGTAAATACTAAGTAATCTAAACATATTAAAGAATAGAACCATCAATAATAATTCATTTTACTTGACACTTTGGAGAGTAACTTAGCATTTTTTCCTTTTTTTAGATTTTCCGGGATCCAAAACATAGGCTTGAGATTTGGTAAAGAGGTTGCCTTTATTGGTGTCAATGTGATTATTCCGTGGGGGGGAAGAAAACATACAAAAATCCCTAAATAGGAAGCAAATATGTAGAAAAAATTATCCAAGTCAAACATGGGACTAAATAGGGCTAAGGATGTTTTCTTTTGGACTGAAATTTGCTGGTCTGGTCTGGTCTGTTTAAGTCTGGTCTGGTCTGTTTAAGTCTGGTCTGATCTGAACTGGTCTGGTCTGGTAAACGTCTGGTCTCTGTGTATTTTATAACTACGGAAGTCTGGTCTGGTCTGGTCTGGTCTGTTTAAGTCTGGTCTGGTCTGGTCTGGTCTGTTTAAGTCTGGTCTGGTCTGTTTAAGTTTGGTCTGGTCTAGGACTGAATACAGTCCAAAAGAAAACATCCTAAAAGTACAAGAAAGCCAGAAGGAAAGGAAATGTAAGCAAAAAGGCGGAACACAACCATCAATATTTTATATTTGTCCAAACTCGTTTTACTTAAATATCATTTCTATTATACACAAACTAAAAAATCTAAATATGTGCAAATTATTAAATTATTAAATTATTAAAAAAGCTCAATCAATATTTAATTGTAACCAATGGCTCGTTCCACATCAATGTCAGTTCTTAGGAGGCGTTTACTTCGCTGCTAAAGTCACAGTTAGGTTAGTAAGACAGGTGAAGTAAACACGCACGCTGCTTAAAAAGCCGCTTACTAACCGAAATAGGTGCTTAAAGTGCCGCTTACTAAGCCTACCACACCCCCATGTATTAATTAAGCGGCACTTTAAGCTTTTTCAGTTTCCGAATTTACCCCTTGCCCTTACCCTATTGTTACCCTTGACCCACCTACCTACCGACCCCCACCTTGACCCCAACCCCACCTACCCCACCCCTACCCTACACCTTCTATCCCGACCCCACCCTACCCTTACCCTCACCCCACCCCTACCCCCTACCTTACCTACCCCACCCCTACCCTACCTAACCGACCCCCACCCTACCCTTACCCCACCTACCTGACCCCACCTTACCCCTACCCTACCCCCATCCTACCCCTACCCGACCCCCACCCTACCACTACCCTACCTACCAGACCCCACCCCTACCCCTACCTACCAGACCACAAACCTACCCCACCCCTTACCCACCTACCCAACCCCACCCTACCCCTACCCTATCCCGACCCCCACCCTACCCTTACCCTTACCCCACCCCTACCCCCCACCCCCACCCTACACTACCTAACCGACCCCCACCCTACCCTTACCCCACCTACCTGACCCCACCTTACCCCTACCCTACCCCATCCTACCCTACCCCTACCCGACCCCACCCTACCACTACCCTACCTACCAGACCCCACCCCTACCCTACCTACCAGATCACAAACCTACCCCACCCCGTACCCACCTACCCAACCCCCACCCTACCCCTACCCTATCCGACCTCACCCTACCCCTACCCTGACCCTACCTCATACCCCGCCTGAACCCCACCCTACCTACCCGAACCCACCCTACCACTACCCCCACCTACCCAACCCCACCCCTACCTTACCTACCCGACCCACCCTACCACTACCTGACCGCAGTCACCCCACCATACTCTTACCCCACCTACTCCATCCCACCATATATACCCCGACCCCACCCTTTACCCCCACCCTATACCTAGGGTGGTGGGGTTGGGGTGGTGGGGTCGAGGTGGGGCCAATGTGATAGAGGCGCTAGGGGCAGAGTAGGTGCGGTGGGGTCGGGGGTAGGATTGCGGCAGAGTGGGGTAGGGTAGGGGTAGGGTGGGATTGGGGAGGGTAGTGGTAATCGGGGTAAGGTAGGGTAGGGGTAGGCGGGTTGGGGTAAGGTAGGGTAAGGTGGGGTCAGGGTGGGGTCGATGCGGTAAGGGGGTATGGGGGTAGGGGCCTATGGGGTTGGGGGTAGGGTCGCGGTAGGGTGGGATCGGGTAGGGGTAGGGGTAGGGTCGGGTAGGTAGGGTAAGGGTAGGGGGTAGGTGGGGTCAGAGTAAGGTAGGGTGGGTAAGGGGTTAGGGGGTATGGGTACACATTTATATTATATACTTGTGTTCATGAATGTTTGTGTGTGTATATATGTATAGGGTTATTTTGGACATTTTAATGTTAAGCGGTGTTTTAAACCGTTTGAAGTAAACACAGTCTTACAACATTGTTTATTTTATGCACCGCTTATTAACACGGGTCTTAATAAGCACCGTTTAATAACCGGTGAAGTAAACGCCTCCTTAGTTTTTTTGTTACATTTCAAACTTATACTAATAGTGCCAGTTTTGAAATACTCTCCGAATAAATTCTATGGCCGGAGGCCGGGAAACTTTCAAACTTGTACTAATCTTGGAACTTATGAAAACATTTTATGGAGTCTGTACAGTGTTTTATCTTGGCATTTTTTTCTTTCCTACAAGTATTACCTGAACTATATAACTGTGGGTAGGCCAGTCTCAGCTCTGGTCAAATCGTGATTTACACTGTTAATCCAATCCGAATTTCATCACCAAGACTGCCGGTCGGATCGTTCATTTGTTAGAATTGAAACTTCATATAAATAGGTCAACTCCAACTCTAGTTGGTTGTGCCAACAATTAGTACTGTAGTTATACACTTGCACTTAAAACTCAATGGTAGTGATAACACAACACTTTAAAGCTTCAAAACTCACCACTCACACTGGAAACTATGGAAGGTGGGATCTCTTGTTCTCTCTCATTCACATTCAATCACACACAATACAAAAGAAAGCAGAAAATGAAAGGTTACCCTTCTATCTATCTAAAGTAATAACAAGAATGGGATCCTGTCACTACTATGTGGAATTGTGGATAGTAAGCAATAGCCATCATACAAAATGATAAGGCTCAGACATGCAAGAAAAGAGTAAAACGTACTATTCTTCAGTGGCAGCAGTGTGCTTTTTATGCTGCTTCTTGATCTTTGCTTTCTTAGCTCTCATTCGGCGTTTCTTCTCATTTGCATCAACCCAGGAATAATCTGGCGGTATATGAAAAGGGTCAAAGTCTTCTCGAAAGCTTCTTCGACTTTCACTTTCTGCACCACCATGGCTTCCTCTCATCCATGAAATCCATGAGTTCGAACTTTCTGATTTGGCGTCTTGGAAGTGTGTGGGGCTTGACACCGGGGTTGAAAACTCTTCAACCGGCTGAAGCTCCTCAAACTTTGTGAATGTGACGAGAACTCTAATGGTGGGTACAATTGGGATTGCGATCTGACGAGGCCAAAAGTCATTTTTGTTAGCACAGTACAATCTCCATTTTTCAGCTTAACATAACAGAAAACTCTGTAAACGAAGTGCCTCAGAAGTCAGAATGAATAAAGCAGTGTGTTTCTCTTATTTACAGGCTCGATTCGTTTCCAAGAAATACATCTATCACTCCAGAGGTACAGTCAACTTACCAAATGAACCTAGAGGTTTCTGAAAATGACTATTAAGCCCCTTGACCAATTAAATTTTCCACAAACGACTCTTTTAATTCTAAGAATTACGGAGTATATACTTAATGATATTAACATAATTGTGAGCCTTCATTTTAGAGCATAATTCACTTCCTACTAATAGCATAGTATATGATCATCTTTCACTCTCATTAGCGGAAAAACAAACTGACCAGGGGATTATAGGTAACTCTGAGAAGCCTAGAGGACCATTTGGTAGTATGACAAACCACAATTAAATTGTTAATGTCGTTACTCGTTACTAAGATCAGCTCCATTTCCAACACTTATACACTTAAATTGGCATAAACATCACACCAAACAGTACTTACTTTTCACCATCTTAATGCAACTCATGAAAGTTTTATCACACAAAATAATATCAGCATATTCATTTTTACACCAAAAATGCATACACCACATCAAAAAGTACTTATTTAGTCTTAACTCGTACACCATTTCTATCGCAAACTAAAAATCTCAGCATAATTTTACAAACATAAAACAGAGCCAGAAGAAAGCAAGTGCTGCACCCAAACCTAGCCTGTTGCTGTCCATCTTCTACCGAATTGGGAAGTAGTGCATTAACGAAAAATTACAAAAACAACGCCAAATTAGCATGCATCAAGGAGGCTCTTAATTAGGATAATAAAAATGTCCCAAAGCATTCACAAAATGTCGATGGTACTTGTTACGGAGTATTTATTTGCATTTATCAGGTTCTAGTAACTTATAGACTAAGCATATAGCAATTCTAGCCTGTTAATATGTGGGATTCAGATGATCAGCAATTTTGAATTATATTTATGAATAATCTATTCATAACTAAGCAAAAACAGCCATAGGCTTTGTTTGGTACCCACCTCATTTTGTTTATCTACCTTGTTCACCATGTTTATACCAAAAACCAAATTTTTTTTACTGCATTAACTAAACTGGATGATAATTAAAATTGATAGTTCATAGGTACTCCGTAATATTTAGGCTACAATGAAGATAAGTGACTCTTGGACTATTGGATTTTATTTCATTTGATTGATTTAAGAAATACATTTTTAGATCAATTCAGTCCATCCTACCATTTTAGTCAATTTTACCATATAATGATGCCATTCAAATATGACAATTGATACATGACCTCAAACAGTAACACTAGTTTTGA